ATCTCAAATCCGGGTACCATCACATCGATATCCATCCTTCATGCTGGAAGTTTCTCGGTTTTGGATTCGATGGGCGCACTTACTCCTTTCGTTCATTGCCGTTCGGTCTTGCGACAGCCCCATTCATCTTCACGCAACTCATCAAGCAGCTAGCCCGTCGCTGGCGGGAGCAAGGCATCCGAGTAGTACCATACGTGGACGACATCTTATTCCTTTGCCAGTCAAAAGCTCACGCGCAGGCTACTTGCCACCGTGTAATACTGGACCTTAAAGCAGCAGGTTTGGTGATAAATGCGAAGAAATCACAGCTGTCACCATCGCAACACCTTCGATTCTTGGGTGTGGAGCTAGACACGGCCACGGGCCGATTTACCATCGGTCCCGAACGACGAGCCTCACTACATGCAACCATTCGGAACCTGTTGAGCGCAAGCAAGGCATGTCGACCCGTCTCAGTCCGCCAAGTGGCCAGAATCACAGGCATGCTCGCGTCAATGGGCGTCGCGCTGGGCGCAACAGCTCGTGCTTTCAGCCACGCCATGCTACAAGTGATCAATGACGCACCTTCATGGAAAAGCAGCGTGATCATCCCCCCAAACGCGGCTGAGGAGCTAAACTTCTGGCTCGAAGAGTTTGATAGGTTCAACGGTGCACCGTTTCACGTTCGAAACAGCTACGACGCTGTCATCCATGTGGATGCTAGCGCTCACAGTTGGGGCGCCACTTTGACCACATTTCCTGGCGGCCTCGAAGAAGCTAGCGCAACAATGCCAGAGCCGCTGAGAGCGACGTCCAGCACACGGAGGGAGATCGAAGGTGTGCTTTGGGCACTCCAAACATACTCCAGCAAGATCACGCACAAACATGTTCTTGTGCGGGTGGACAATCAGGGCGTCTTCTTCATCCTTCGCAAAGGTGGCTCGCGCAGCCCCGACCTTACCACGGCCTGCCAAGACATCATTCGACTATGCATGGAGCACGGCACGCGTCTAATCATCGAATGGATCCCACGGGAGCTAAACTCACACGCCGATGAGCTCTCAAAAGCAGTCGATCATGACGACTACTCGTTGAAGACGCCGTGGTTCCGCATCTTAGAACGGCGTTGGGGTCCCCATTCCATCGACCTCTTTGCAAACTCCCGCAACTCCCAGCTGCCACGCTTCTGCACGAAAATTCCTCATCCACAAGCCACCGCAGTCGATGCATTCTCGCTCGCATGGACATCAGAAAATAGCTTTGCGTTCCCCCCGCCCCATTTAGTTCCGGCCGTCCTCCATCACGCACAGCGCACCCGTGCATCGCTCACATTGATCATCCCACACTGGCCGGGTGCAAACTGGTGGCCACTTTTACAACCTTCCCCACGCAACTGGGCACCGTACATCCACGCGCACATTCCCTTGACAGACGGCAGCCAATGCCTGGCAGCTGGAACACATTCCGCTGCTTTTTCAGGCACTGGATTACCACACAGCCCAATCATCGCACTTCGGGTGGTTTTTGACTAATTGAGAATGTACGCGCCTTGTGTCCAGATCCGCTCCCAAAGCTACACAACCAACTCATCAACATGCTCACACAATCGCGAGCGAATTCGACAATCCGTACATACGAACCGTACTGGGCCAAGTTTCGGGCCTTCTGCACAAAGGTGGATCTTCCATTTCTTCCCGCATCCGACATGACCCTCGCGCTATACTTGGTGCATGCAATCCAACGCAAAGCAACCTTGTCTGTAGTGCAGCTCACGTGCTCGGCAGTCAGCTTCGCCCATCGCATGACTGGAAGCAAATGCCCGACTGTCGGACCGTTTACCACCCAAGTGCGGGACTACGCGAAACGACACTGCCCTCGCCCTAGTCGTTTGAAGGAGCCCGTATCAATCCAACAAGTTCGGGACATGTCCGCGAACTACTTGCAGTCGGACAATCCCGCTGAATTTCAGAAGGGGTTGATCCCTATCCTCATGTACTCCGGATTTTTGCGATACTCCGACCTCGTTGCCATCCAGTGGCAAGACATCCAATTCGACGATGCAGTCATGTGGATCCTCATCCCACACTCAAAAACGGACCAGGCTGGTCGTGGAACCTGGATTCCCATCGCCGCAACGACGGACCCTTGTTGCCCCGTGCGCTGCACCCAACGCTTCCTCCAACTCGCTGGCTATGGCCCTCATTCCGAGGGGTCGTTGATTCGCGTTTTCAGCCACGCTTCAGCCAACAAGGGCCAGGCCAAGCCACCCTCGTACACAACGATCCGAAACTGGTGTAAAGAAGCATTCGCCAAAGTAGGACTTGGGGAGCAGCAGCTCGGCACGCACTCCTTCCGAAAGGGCGCGGCAACCGTAGCCGCCAACATCGGCGTGCCGGACAGAATCTTCAAAAGGATGGGCAGGTGGCGAAGTGACACCGCCAAAGATATGTACGTCACACCATACGTCGGACATCTTATCAAGGCATCCCGCGACCTACAGGACCCGACATACGCGCTGCCCCCAGAACAGCACGCAGAGGCACTCTTACGCAACCGCAAGCCACCACTGGCCATGTCTCAGAGGCCCCAGTTGCAATGAGAACGATGCCAAATTATAAGGACAAGAAAGCAAGCTTTCTCAATATTATAATTTTTAAACACATTGATGTTTTTCAAAATTGTGTAGTGTGAAAGCGAAGCTGACTGTACCGAATATTTGGCAGCGTCGAAGCGCGCTAAACGCCCTTCTCCAACTACAAAAACCGTGGGTTGGAGTTCATTCCCTCCACCCACGTTTCTCGTTTTCCAACGGCTCAATCAACATCCCCACCACCCACCCCGGACCAACTACAAGACCACAGCTGCTTGGACAGACGACTCCATAGCTAGTAATATTTGCATGTACTAGCATGTGTTTACGAACGATGCATATGTTGTTATAAGCCAGTTGCAATGAGAACGATGCCAAATTATAAGGACAAGAAAGCAAGCTTTCTCAATAGACTCACTAGCACCTAGAGCGGCAACAGACTCACTAGCACCTAGAGTAGCAGCAGACTCACTAGCACCAAGAGCAGCAGTCTTAACAAAACGATAACCTCCACCACCAGGATGACCTCGCTGAATAGCCCACTCACGAAGCTGCTGAGGGGTGGGGTTATCCGGGAGAAGCAGTGCCCGCTGCTATCCACCCCTGACAGCAGCAACTGCCGCGGAAGTGGCCATGACAGACAGTGACGGTCAGGAGTAGGTCCAGCACCTCCAGCTCCTACAGCACTAGCAGCACTTCCTGCACTCCCAGCAGCACCTCCACCAGCAGCAGCAGTAGCACGAGTAGTAGCAGCAGTAGTAGTAGCAGCAGCAGTAGTAGTGGTATAATAATTATTATTATTATTATTATTATTATTATTATTATTATTATTATTATTATTATTATTAGTATTTTGTTTTATTTTTATTTTATGCAGGAATTAGGGTTGCGCGTGGCCCACGGGCTGCAGGGGCGACGCGCGGCTCGGCAGGGCGGCGCGGGCTGCAGGGGCAGCGCCCCCGGGCTACAGGGGCGACGCGCAGCTCAGCAGGGCGGTGCGCGGGCTGTAGGGGCGGCGCGCAGCTCGGCAGGGCGGCGCCCAGGCTGCAGGGGCGACGTTCGGCTCGGCAGGGCGGCGCGCGGGCTGCAGGGGCAGCGCCCACGGGCTGCAGGGGCGACGTGCGGCTCCGCAGGGCGGCGTACGGGCTGCAGGGGCGACGCGCGGCTCTGCAGGGCAGCATACGGGCTGCAGGGGCAACGCCCACGGGCTGCAGGGGCAACGCGCGGCTCGGCAGGGCGGCACGCGGACTGCAGGGGCAGCGCCCACGGGCTACAGGGGCGACGCGCGGCTCTGCAGGGCGGCGTACGGGCTGCAGGGGCAGCGCCCACGGGTTGCAGGGGCAACGCGCGGCTCGGCAGGGCGGCACGCGGGCTGCAGGGGCAGCTCCCACGGGCTGCAGGGGCGACGCGCGGCTCGGCAGGGCGGCGCGTGGGCTGCAGAGGCAGCGCCCATGGGCTGCAGGGGCGAACGCGCGGGCTGCAGGGGCAGCACGCGGGCCACAGGGGCAGGCACGGCTGCAGGGGTTGAACGGTCGCAGGGGCAGGCACGGCTGCAGGGGCAGCACGGTCGCAGGGGCAGGCACGGCTGCAGGGGCAGCACGGTCGCAGGGGCGAGTACGGCTGCAGGGGCAGCGCGGTCGCAGGGGCAGCGCGGTCGCAGGGGCAGCACGCGGACTGCAAGGGCATCACGGCTGCAGGGGCAGCGTAGGAAGAAAATTTACGGTTAGGGCAGGGCGGAACGTTCGGTGGGCCCTAGGAACGATTCTGCTCTAATACCATGTTAGAATAAGCAGGAATGAATGGTGGACTCGGTAGCATGCATGAGTACAAGTAACTAACCCTCAAGTGTTGTACCCCTTGTAGGCTAACCCACTATAGCCTAGAGATAACACAAACATACAGTTTGACAGTTTCAGGGTCGAACGCGATACAACTCTGATTCGTCAGTGCCAGAAAAATCAAACCAATGAAAAATCAGTGTCAGAATCCTAAAAACACTGAAAAAAACAGTGTCTACAAAAATAAAAGGCTGAAAGTTCAGGGCCACTTCAGAAAAACACCCTGAAAAATCAGGAATATAGGGTAAAAATCCTGCCTTCTGAGACACTGACTAGCCCTAAAAGGTAGACCTGGCCTACAATAAGAAAACACACAATTTGACATATACCTACATCTGCATTGACTTGACACTAAACGTGATTAGCATGTAAATCTCCGACTCACAAAATAAATATTCCAGGCGCAAGCCGAAAAGTAGCCACAAAATCCACACCTTCACTAGCATATTTAGAATGATTACTGCAATCTCTCAACACATACAGTATATTTGAAGATAACCCCAAGTATGCTACTCCAGACTTGGGGTCTCATTACCCCAAGCCCACCCACCCACAACAATCGATACGAAACCACCATGTGAAAACTATACGCTTCACAACCCGAACACCAGGAGCAAGACGGCGGCAACAGCAGCAGCAGTAGAGTGGTTAATGGCAGCAGCAATGAGCGTGCGAGGGCCAGATGCTGATCGTGCCTGCGACACTGGGATGTGGGCATAGACATAGAATGGAACGTTAAATCAGATTGTGTAAAGCACACCTATTCCACCAACCAGCCGTTGTTGGAAGGTTTGATTGGACTCGGTGTGGCATCGTTCTTATGCGTGCGTGTGTGTGTGGGCATCCAATGCAGCATGGAGACTCACAACCAAAGTCGGTGCAGGAGGAGCAGAAGGAGAAGCAGAGGCGGCAGAAGCCGGTGGTGTTGCTCTGATACACCACGCACTTGCTGCCGTCTGCAGGGCAGGTCAGCCCCGTGCCCGACACGTTCCTGGGGGTGAGTGTTGGAGGAGAAGGATATTGACCAGATATTGAGGGAAACACACACTCATGGCCAAATATTGACCAGAACCTAGTGTGCAACGAGCAAATACGTGCAATTATTATGCTAGTTCTGCGTATTTCTATGTGCATTCGGTTCAATACCAAATGCCATGTAAAAGTACGGAGTTCATTGGTTACAGGCTGACTCACGAAAGTGGATCTAGAACGGAGAAAAGAGGCCAGCCAACTCAACACCACTATGATGCCATTGAGTTCAAATCCAGGGGAGGATGGAAGCTGTAAGAGCAGCGTGGAGAGAGTAGTCTCCTTTAGGCTTGTGGTGGATGGGGAATGGTTGTGCTACTCACAGGTATGTTAAATCATGAAGACTGCCCAGACCAGCAGGTATAACGCCACTCAGATTGTTGCCTCCAATCCCCCTGCCGTGCCATGCCATGCCATGCCATGCCACACGTGCATGCCAGCGAGCAGAGTACATCAGCTGTTTGCAATGATGTCCGCGGTGATCCTTGGTGGGATATCACATGATGGAATGCAGCAAAACGTGCTACCTCGGTTAATGCTGTCAGACTTGCTGGGTCCAGACAAGGTGTGCACAACCTTTTCTCAAGGTAGCGTTTATGCCTTCTCAAACATCCCTGTCCTCCTCAAACGACCCTAACTCACAACAGCACTGCTTCCTTATTCTCAAAAAAAAGATGGAGCAAGGCTCACAGTCGGGACAACAATACAAGGCTGGAGATGGAGTCAGGGAGGGAGCCACTGAGCTGGTTATCGCTGACGTCTCTGGGGATTGAGTGGGGCATGGTGGTGGTGGGCGGTTGTGGGAAGGGTAAAGAGGGGACATGGTGGATGGGCGCAGGCGAGGGGAATGAGGATCCAAGGGAAAGTGTAGCTTTGCTAAATAATCTATGGACTTCCAGCCACTCAGAGCTATGTGATGCTAGGAATGTGGCTGCTAGTTCAGATGTTGTTTGTGGCTGCTAGATCAGATCTGTCTTTGTGAAAATGGGGGAGTAAAGAAGAAGGAAATCCAAAGGGCACATGAAGGGTAGACAAAGATGGACATCGGTTGAGAAGGATAAGAACAAGGCAGTGAGCTCACAATATGTGAAGATAGGGTAGCGAATCAAAGTTGGGTAGCGATCCAGAGAATGCGTTGCCTTGCAGCTCACTGTGTGGAGGCATGGGTTGCATGGGATGGGGATGGGGGAATGACCAGCAGTGTGTATGAAAGGGAATGTTTATGATTGCACATACATAATCATTATTGCTGTCGTTCTGAGGGAAATCAATCAAGAGACAACTCGAGCACACGCAATTGCCTCCCTCCTTCCTTCCATACCAGGACCAAGCAACTTCAAGGCGCACTTACAGAGTCCTGAGACCGGTGGAAACGAGGGCAGAAGGAAGGGGACCTTGAAGCTGGTTGTGAGCCATGGAACTGGAGAGGTTGAATGGGCGATGGTGGAAGGGAGTGAGATGATGGTAACATGCATGCATTGAATGTCCCAAAAGGGAATTTCTGTAGTGAGGAGTGAGCATTTAGTGACCCAAGGGCCATGGCATGATGGAAGGCACATGAGACATGTGCACTGCATGCCGCATGAGCTTCCACCTCCGTCTCCATGCCGCCTGCACCATCCCATAACCAGGTGCAAGCCATCCCGCTTGCATACTCGGCTCTCTTCCATGCTAAGAGGGGTAATGTGGCATGGCACAGCATGGCACGGCACAGCATTGCAAGACAAGGCACAGCATAGCAAGACATGGCACAGAATGATAAGGCCGAGGGAGGATGTAGCTCCGGCTATTATTCCCTGTCTCTGGCACAAGGCGCCGAGAACATGACACAAAAGAGAGATCAATGCTATGTCAATCACCCAAGACTTACACAGAGTGCCAGGTGATGATAGAAGGTAGGAAGGTGAGCTCATTGGACAATCTAGGAAAAAACCACTCATGGCCAGATATTAACTTAAAACTAGTGTGCGACAAGCAAATACGTTCATTCGGTCCAATACCAAATACCGTGTTGTATGAAGTTAACTGGTTACTGTCTTACGTGCAAAAATGAATCTAGAACTCTACGTGAGAGGCAGGATAGGCTTGTGAAGCATGTGGCACAGAGGAGTGAAAGGAGAAAAGAGGCCAGCCAACTCAACACCACGATGCTGCCATTGAGTTCAAATCCAGGGGGGGGGGGGAATAGGAGGATTCCAATGCAAGTTAAAGTAAGACCCTGGCAAGGATGGAAGCTATACGAGCAGCGTGGGGAGAGTAGTCATCTTTAGGCTTGTGTTGGATGGGGAATGGTTATGCTACTCACAGGTATGTTAGATCCCCAAGTCCGCACAGGCTAGCAGGTATGACGCCACTCAGATTGTTGCCTCCAAGCCCCCTGCCGTGCCATGCCGTGCCATGCCATGCCATGCCATGCCACGCCATGCCACACGTGCATGCCAGCGAGCAGAGTACATCAGCTGTTTGCAATGATGTCCTTGGTCCAGACAAGGTGTGCACAACCTTTTCTCAAGGTAGCGTTTATGCCTTCTCAAACATCCCTGTCCTCCTCAAACATCCCTACCCTCCTCAAACGACCCTAACTCACAACAGCACTGCTTCCATATTCTCAAAGAGAGATGGAGCAAGGCTCACAGTCGGGACAACAACACAAGGCTGGAGATGGAGTCAGGGAGGGAGCCACTGAGCTGGTTGTCGCTGACGTCGCTGGGGATTGAGTGGGGCATGGTGGTGGTGGGCGGTTGTGGGAAGGGTAAAGAGGGGACATGGTGGATGGGCGCAGGCGAGGGGAATGAGGATCCAAGGGAAAGTGTAGCTTTGCTAAATAATCTATGGACTTCCAGCCACTCAGAGCTATGTGATGCTAGGAATGTGGCTGCTAGTTCAGATCTGTCTTTGTGAAAATGGGGGAGTAAAGAAGAAGGAAATCCAAAGGGCACATGAAGGGCTGACATAGATGGACATCGGTTGAGAAGGATAAGAACAAGGCAGTGAGCTCACAATATGATAAGATAGGGTAGCGAATCAAAGTTGGGTAGCGAGCCAGAGAATGCGTTGCCTTGCAGCTCACTGTGTGGAGGCATGGGTTGCATGGGATGGGGATGGGGGAATTACCAGCAGCGTGTATGAAAGGGAATGTTTACGATTGCACATCCATAATCTGCATTGCTATCGTTATGAGGGAAATCAATCAAGAGACAACTTGAGCACACGCGCTTGTCTCCCTCCTCCCTTCCATACCAGGACCAAGCAACTTCAAGGCGCGCTTACAGAATACCGAGACGGGTGGGAACGGCAGAAGGAAGGGGACCTTGAAGCTGGTTGTGAGCCATCAAACTGGAGAGATTGAATGGGCGATGGTGGAAGGGAGTGAGATGATGGTAACATGCATGCATTGAATGTCCCAAAAGGGAAGCGCTGCAGTGAAGAGTGAGCATTTAGTGACCCATGGGCCATGGCATGTTGGAAGGCACACGTGTACTGCATGCCACCATGAACTTCCACCTCCATTTTGTTGTTACCTGCACCATCTCATGGCCAGGTGCATGCACGCCATCCCATGGCCAGGTGCATGCTTGCCATCTCGCTTCCATGCTGGGACCTCTTCCATGCTGGAACGGGTAATGTGGCATGGCACGGCACAGCATGGCACGACACAGCATGGCAAGGCACGGCACAGCATGTCACGGCCGGGATAACGTGTGGCCTTCCAATTGATTGCGCCTCAACACTTTATTAGTTGTATATGCGTGTTGTTGAGGAAACCTTCAGTTAGCAGTGGCCGATGACGAAAGCCAGCATCCAAGTATGGTAAAAAATGTGTAATTTGGATCACAGGCGGCCTGCTGTAAGAGAGGTGGATCACTGGCGCAATCGCGTCAGTGGTCCGCCTGCAGATGAAATGACTAGCCACGAGAAGCCCGGGCGCAAGGCAAGCCGCTAAAACGAGAACAATGAGACAAACAGGGCACCGAGGGCCCTTGTGTAGTCATTACACAAGGCTGGGAGGCACGACCGAGGGAGGAGGTGGCTCAGGCTAAACTTTTCCCTCTCTAGCGCGAGCCACCGAGAATACGAACAAAAATCAAGGACATTATGATGTCAATCACCCAGGACTTACACGTCAGCAATGATGGCAGAAGGCATGGAGGTGAGTTGATTCCAGGAGAGGTCTCTGCACGCAATGAGGGCAGGCAGAGGCGAGGGGACGTGGAGGCGAGGGGATGTGGAGGCGAGAGGATGTGGAGGCAAGGGGAGTGGTGGGGAGGGGATGTGGAGGTGGGGGGATGTGGTGGAGAGGGGATGTGGAGGCGAGGGGATGTGGAGGGGAGGGAATGTGAAGGTGAGGGGATGTGGTTGAGAGGGGATGTGGAGGGGAGGGGATGTGGAGGGAAGGGGATGTGGGGGATATGTGGAGGCATGCACAGTGAGGTATGGGCGTGAATGCTTCCTTGCCACACCCCAGGGGGTGTGCGGTGTGGTTCAGCTCTTGGTACTGGAGAAACACGAGTCAGGGCTGAGAAACACGAGTCAGGGCTGAGAAACACGAGTCAGGGCTGAGAAACACGAGTCAGGGCTGAGAAACACGAGTCAGGGCTGAGAAACACGAGTCAGGGCTGAGAAACACGAGTCAGGGCTGAGAAACACGAGTCAGGGCTGAGAAACACGAGTCAGGGCTGAGAAACACGAGTCAGGGCTGAGAAACACGAGTCAGGGCTGGGAAACACGACTCAGGGCTGGGAAACACAAGTCAGGGCTGTGAAGCATACGGCAATGCCATGACCAAGTGGAGCCTCTGAGGTAATCATGGAAGCACGATAGTATGGTAATGCCAACCTTAGTCTACTGGGAACGCAACGCAACATACTGGATATGCAGCGTTTGTACATTGCTAAAGAAACAATAGGCGGATTTCAAGGGGCGCTTGCATGAAGTTGCCACACGGAGATGAGAAAGCATGGTGAGAGAGAGACTGCGCAAGAGAGACTGCTCAAGAGCCTCCAACACCTCATTCTGATTGGTTGAATTGCGACTCAGCATGCAAGGTGCCAGATGGAGGTGCGTTGCAATCCACGCCACGCATGAGCTCATGCCAGGCGAGGCGAGCCTTGAAGTCTCACAAGTAGGCGTGAGTGACAGGAGCGGCGCCGGTGATATTGTTAGAGCCGAGCAACCTGTGTTGTGTTGCGTGGAGGCAGGCACGTGTGTGTGGAGGCGGGGACGTGTGTGTGGAGGCCAAGACACGCACGTGTATTTTGGATAGCAAGTGGCAGTGCAATGCCTCGACTTTATACAATGGAATTATTTCCTACAACAAGGGAGAGGAATTTTATGCATGACAGCTTTTGATGTTGCGAGGCCTTCTCATCACCGTAGCTTTTCTACATGACGACTTGAAAGAGACTTGCATAATGTCACTACAGATGGCCCACCCTGTACAGATGGTAAGCCTACTTGTGAAAGTCACATTTGCAAGAGCACTGGTAAAATAGGACATAGAGCCAATAGGGCATACAGCCAGAGTGATATACAGAGGACATGATAGAACATTCACATGAGAAGACCACACCATGCCTTGGTTCACCTGGATCTGGTACGCCTTGAAACAACCCCACAACATTCTGTTGCCACGCTGATTTATGCTGGAAGCCATGGTGGAAAGTCAAAGGGGAAGCTGTGAGGGGCTTACAGGTAATCCAGTTTTGGCAGCTTGCTGATGCCAGCAGGAATGCTTCCTGAGATGTTGTTCCCGTAGAGCTCCCTGGTGGGGCCATAGCGAGGAGGAGAGGAAGGGGAATGGCCACAAGAAGAACAACTTTCACAGGATAAACTGCTTTTTCAGGAAGAACCGTTTTCACAGAAAGAAGCGCTTTCACCAGACCAACTGGGTGAACTGCATTCACTCGATGAACCACATTCACTGGATGAAGTGCTTGTGCAATAGCTTTATTCGGAGACCATTATCTAGCTGGATTGTAACACCTTGGTGCTTACAACCTGGGGCTCACAAACTCGCTCTCACAACCTGATGGGAAGGGGAGAGAGGATGGGAAGGGGAGAGAGGATGGGAAGGGTAGTAGAGCGGATGAGAAGGATTGAGAGGAAGGAAGGATTGAGAGGATGGGAAGGGGAGAGAGGAAAAAAAGGGGAGAGAGGAAAAAAAGGGGAGAGAGGATGGGAAGGGGAGAGAGTAAGGAAGAGGATAGATGATGGGAAGGGGAGGCATACAAGATGGTGAGGGCGGTGAGGGCGGAGATGGTGGAGGGGATAGAGCCAGTGAAGCCATTCAGACCGGCCCGCCTGCAGGTGCAAGGGGAGGGGCGAGAGGAGAGGAGCGAGAGGAGAGGAGGGGCGCATGCATTGGTTGCTGGAAGGCAACAGGGTTGGGCTGAGTGGGCCGTCGAGCGATGTGCAGATGGACGGGCAGAGGGAAGATGGGCCCAGTGCGTCTTGGTGGGAAATATAAGGAACGGATGGCTTAGGATGGCTAGGTGAGCAGCACAAGGTGTCAAACCAAGATGGTGTGCTCTTGACATGACCGATGGCTCACAACGTCTCCAGCCTTGTGAGCGCCATCCACTCGGTGGGGAACAGTGCAGAGCGGCGGAAGGTTAAGTTTCCGGTGACATCCCTGCAGGGAAGACAAGGGCAGGGGGGTAGGGGAGGCGCGGGGCACTCCAATCGGTGGAGAGGCATGGGGGGTGGAGCATTGCAAGTGGCATCAGCGTACATCGGAATCTCTCTTTCTAGCTAAGTTGGATATTACGCTTACGTTTACGTACGTTTTCCGTTTACGTTTACGTACGTTTTACGTTACGTACAAGGGTCCAGAATGAGTTTACATTTCCGGGCAGATTAGTTTATTTTCAGCTGCCCAGGTCATACAAATTTCCCTGGGATTCGAAGTTGGCATTAACATTATCTATGATAATGTTGTGGTTCAAGCTACGAAATTACAATCTCCAGCCATAAATTTTGTTGCCCACCATCGTTTGTATCGGCGCGTCACTTTGTGACGCGTTACTTTTGCTAGGTGCACAAAATCGCTTCGGGCTTTCCCTCCAATTTAAATAGCGAGGTACTTAGTCACTAAATATAGCATAACGGTTATGAAAGAACCGTCAATCCTAAATATTGCATCTCGTACGCAGCTGTATGTGCTGCCCTGAGCAGTTGTGCCGCGATGATGCTCTCTTCTCCAGGGCCAATTTACAGAACGCTCTTTTTTTTTGCCGGATTTTTTTTCCTGTCCGGACCTAAGTTACGCGTATTGACGCGTACGTAAACGTAAACCTAATGTTACGCGTAACATTACGTTTACGTAGGTCCAGGGACGTACGGACCCATCTTAGCTTTCTAGCCATTGTGCCATCCCTCTAGCCATGGTTCATTGCCCTGATCGACTCTGCCTTGAGCCACATGTGGCCCAGTGTAGGGCATCACCACATAGAGCAGCATGGCACAGGGCAGCACAGGGAAGCCGACAAACACCCTCGATTCAAAGTGGCACAGATCAATCGGGGTGCGAGCTTGAGCCGGTTTCATTGGCATCGCTCTAGCAGCAAGCTATGGAAGCGGAGGGAGAGAGCGCAAGGGGCAAGACTGTGGTAAATTGCAGGTGGTGCAGGAAGTGAGAGGAGTGGTAACCACTGAGCGGACGTGCGCTGGCCTCTTGTATCCCAAGTGAAGCACAGGCAAGGTGCAACAAGAAGCACTGATAATAGTCAGGGCGGGGTGGGGCGAGGGGCTCATGGTGCAACTCACAAATAAGTGAGCTTAGAGAGTGAAGCGATCCATTGCGGTAAGCGGGTGATGGGAAGGAAACTTAGGTCACTGTAATACAGGAAAGGAGGGAGAGGAGAGATGGTGAGCGCTAAACCTTGAAACAGAAATGTGCTCGCTCGCTCCTGTTTCAACTTTCGTAAGCGGGAAAGAAATTCGTTGACTTTTTTCATAAGCCTAACTTGAAGAGATGCAACGCGTGCAACGAGCAAGCACATGCCCAAGGCTAACCAGAAGCACGTGAGAGATGATACCACACCAGTATCATGGCTGTACTTTGGTGATTGCCAGCACAATGCATAAAACATGACATAAAAATATACCAAGCACTCGCTCAAGGAGGAGGAAGGAAGACATCCGACAGACTTACAGGTGCATGAGTGAAGGAAGTGCAGCAACAGAAGAAGGGAAATCTCCAGCAGTCAGGTTGAGATTCATGAGAGCACTGGGGAGGACCGAGGATGGAGGAGAGGCAAGGGTGCAAGAGGGAGGATGAAAGACACTGGTAAAGTGGAAAGACGAAAGTTGGGGAGCAGAGAGAATGGGAGCGAGTGAGGAGGCGTGAATGAAGCACGGGCAAGTGCCATGTTCAGTGTGGGTGGGAGAGGGGCAGCAGCAGGCGGCGAGCCCCTTGGATGGGTGGTGCGATTTGCAGGGGGGCTTGAATCCAAGAACTATGCACTTTAAATAGAAACAGGTGTTGGCAAAGCAAGGGCAGGTAAGCATTAGTGAGAGGGGAGGGGAAGACGGGTAGGTGGGGGGTGAGACGGGGAGGTGAAGGCGGCTAGGAAAAAGTGTGAGGGGAGGAAAGGCGGGTAGGGACAAGTGAGAATAGGCAGAGATGATTTAGATTAGAGGGACGGGGAGGATGGGTAGGGATGAGTTAGATTAAGGGAAAATGTGGGTTGGGAAGAATCGAGGCATACAGGTCCTGGAGACGAGTGAGTGGGGCGAGACATGAGAGGTCGTTCACAGAGCCTTGCATCACAGGGAAAGGCTGGTACTGCTCAAGGCTGCAAGGGTAGAGGTCACAGGGTGAAGGGAGCCGGGGAGTGATTAGCTTTCAGTGGGCTACGTTTGCTGCACCACAGCAGAAGCATTCACGCAGGGGGCTATTGAGAATTGTAAAAATGCAGCAGCAGTCACAGCAGCAATGGGTGCGGCAGAAGCCCCGTTTGCTTGGGTGCATGGAGCAGTGAGCAGCACGTGGGATTGATCATGTTAGGAGAATAGAAGGCAGTGAGATGTGGCAAGGAAGGTGGAGTGTGAGAGGTGCGGCAAGGAAGGTGGAGTGTGAGAGGTGCAGTAAGGAAGGTGAAGTGTGAGAGGTGCAGCAAGGAAGGTGGAGTGTGAGAGGTGCGGCAAGGAAGGTGGAGTGTGAGAGGTGCAGCAAGGAAGGTGGAGTGTGAGAGGTGTGGCAAGGAAGGTGGAGTGTGAGGTGTTGCAAGGAAGGTGAGGTGAGCACACACAGCTGGCCTTGTCACATGAGCTGCCCTACTGCACGGCACTGTGCCGTTCAGAACTATGTGCTTCCCATCACATACGTGTTTCTTTTTAAGAGCATCCCAAGCATCAGATCCTCGACCTGCACTCACACATTTCCATTGACCACCTGACCATACACAGTCTTCCGTTCCGTAGCCATGTTACACCACTCTTGCAAATATATTGAAGGTGATTCGCATACATCATGCACGATGTGTTAGTGTTAGACCTCAATCTCATCTTTTGTACTTGTACTTTTTTATATCATAGATTTGTATAGCTTGTAGTCTGCGTTGGTTGAGTGTACACCCACATCCCAACCTCACCCAAATGGGATAAACCGAAATCTCCAACCCACAAATTAGAGATTTTAGCCGATCTGCTTGGGATTGCCCAAGTCTTATGTACTTACGAGCATTGAGCTCATTACCTTATGTATCAGCAGCAGGCCCAAACATCCCCGTCAGTCTTACTCTGATGGAGATTCGTTAAGGTACGGAAAACCAAGAAAGACCTGCAGGTGCAGGGGGTTCCCAATGCGCCTGCATGTTGGGGGCAGTGCAGAGGGAGGAAAGGGAGTTAGGGACATGCTAGCAACTGACTAGTGCGGTAAGAAAGAAAGCCGAGCAGCGCCTGTGAAGTGAAGAGAGCACAAAGCAAAGTGTCACCACGAGGTTTAAACTACGTGCTTGCCAGCTTGGGGGTGGAGGAGGACAGGGGGGGGATTTAGGAAGGCAAGGAAGGAAGTTGTGGAAGGTGAGGGAACAAATACAGGGATTGGAGTGCAGTGAGGCGACTGATGCTGCCAGGGAGACTTCCACTGAGATACAGGCCCTGGAGGTTACTGGGATGGGATGCATACGAGTTGGTGCACAGAAGAACGTGCCAGTAGGGGAAAATGTGCATTGGCACGCTAATAGATGAGATTGAATTTCGGAAATTGGTTCCAACAGTAGCGTGTATGCTGCCTAACAAAAAGAAAGAAAGAAAGAAAGAAAGAGAGAAAGGCAAGAATGAAAGCACTCTCCATAGCAGCGAGATGAACTGCCCCCGTCGGCCACGCTAGACACGTGATGGAATCCTGGGTTCTCATTCTGCCTCAGGGTGACAAGGGCAGCAGGTGCACGCCAGGATGATGATTCATCATGCCCAATTGCCTTGCCTTGACACTAGAACCCCCTCTTACAGGTACTGCAGGCTCTTGGCATTGCTGATGGTTTCCGGGATGGATCCTCTGAAGTCGGTATGGCTCAGGTCTCTGGTGTGTGCCATGGCAACCGAGTGGGTGGGGGAGTACGCACACCTCACATGTGGGAGAGAGAGAGAGCGACAAGCAAGGGAAACTGATGATAAACTAACCATGGACTCGACTCGAACGATGAAGGTGGGTATATAGGCGAGAAAGTGCAATGGCGGAACAAGAGTAGTTGCATACACATATTGCAACTTGGGGAAATGGCCGAGAATCTCCAGGTTTCCACCGAAGCCATTTATTGCCAGATCCCTGCAGAGTGGCATGCAACGCAACGCAATGCAAGAGGCAGGGTGACTATACAAGAAGCGAATCCCAAGAGTGTGAGCTTCGAGGTCCTGTACCTTTCTAGCTTCGAGGGTTTGCAGATGTTCATAAAAAAACTAGTAGTACTTATGGAGCGGCATGTGGAATGATGAGAGCAAGAGATACACAGGGAACTCCCAACTGTGTGTGAAGCATTATACATACAAGGTTTTTTCTGGGTCTCCAGCACACATGTTCAAGTGGTGGTTCAGCGCACCCTAAACAACCCAATCTGTGGACCTTCAAGTACCCCTACAGCCATCCATCCTGGCTCCTCCCAACAATGGTAAGCACTGACAGTTTCTGAAGCGCAGAGAGGGCTGTAATGGCTGCTGGCACATCGCCATACGAATCATGAATGAACTGTGCGGACCTACATTACGTATCATACGATGTGAAATGGAAAAAAGAAAGGCAAAAGGAAAGAAAGAAAGAAACACGTGGATCATGTTGTACGATTTCAATAGAAGCGGTGGCATTGCTGCACCAGGTTCACCAATGCCTGCTGCACACTGTGTCACAAGCATAGGAATGCACGTTCACTCCGGTTAGGTTGGATGTCATAGGTTCCTCTACCCGACCGGGTCGGATCGGGTCGACACGTGACCCAACATTAGGGATGAACTTCGGGTTAAGGCGGCCCGTTGGGACGGGAGTGAGAGATAACAGGAGGGGAGTAGAGGGTGACAAAATTGCCGATCTGCGCAAATCGATTGGGGAAATCACAGGTCTGCGCAGGATCGGCGGGTCAAGCAAAACGGGTCGGGTGGGGTCGGGTCAGGTCGTTGCTCATGCCAGCATGTTTCCATGGCATTGGCCAGTCAGTCCGCCAGTTGGCAATGCTGCTCCTCTTCCATCATCCATCATCCATCATCCATCCTGCCAAACAGCCCTTCCCCTATCCCGTCCTCACTTATCCTCCTTCTCCAAAGTACACAGCAACATCTCATCACAAAGCTCACAGGACAGTAACCATGCCGTCTTGGTTACACTCCACAAGCTGCCACTCGTCACAGATCACGTTTGACGCGCTGTTATTCCACAGGGCCAATGCTTGGTCCAGGGCCAGAAGCACCTTCACTGTGAAAAAGGTAGACGAAGAGTTTTGGGGGATGGAAAGGCAGGACGAGGGGATGAGCATGGGGCTTGCCAGCCATCCAGTGACTGTTGGCCGACTTTGGGTTTTGCTCTAGAAGGGGAACGACATTTGCGGCAAGAATAATGAGCAAGGGCCCCTTGAAAACTGCATTCGGGGTGGCCTGCTCATGAGAGAAGAGCTTCTGGCACGGTTGGCGCGGCCCATCCGCCTTTGGCGACAAAACAATCACTCACATTGTGATGGTTGGAGCTTGATGGTCGGAGGCAAGGGAGGCATCGCGGATAAGGCCCGTCCGACACGCTGTCGCTGGCCATCCGCCACACGGTAGGCACTACTCGCAACGGCGGAAGCGAGAAGCAGGACGACGACCAGCACGCCGCAGACAAAGTTGAACTCCGGGTTTCGCGCCATCATGACAGTTGAAAAAGAGAGAGAGAGAGAGAGAGAGAGAGAGAGAGAGAGAGAGAGAGAGAGAGAGAGAGAGAGAGAGAGAGAGAGAGAGAGAGAGAGAGACGCGGCTTGCCAGAAAACAAGGGCGAAATGCAAAAAGACTTACTCCAGTGTGAAAACAAAGGTTTCATTATCGGCGAGGTCAGTGCGTTCGTCCCTTGTTCGTCCTGTGCGGTAACTCTCGTTTGGTCTCGGTTTAAACAGTGGATTTTTATTACCGTTGTGCACCGTCTGGAAATGTTTTCCATACGATGGAACCGTAAATGAACGCAGGACGACGCGCTGACCTCGCCCTGATAGAAAACTAACATATATGTTTTGGCGTGAAAGCAGATACAGCTGTAGATTTCGCTGGATTGCAGCAGTACCCTCAATGCACTCGCAGAGGAAATCGAACACCCGATACACGAAACACTGAGGGAACAGCTGACGAAATGATTCCATCATTTTCAAGGGCCTGGGGCCTGAAATAGCTCGCCTCATTCCAACCAGGGCTGTCGATGTACACCCTGTTTCTCGCTATTGTGAATGCCGGTATACTGAACCCTGTGGCTCAACGCACAAAATTACGCGCTATAGTCAACTTTTGCACCAGTTCGGTTTGACGAGGTCAGCTACCTTTGAAGACGGTCTGTTAAACTTTTAATATGGCTCGGTAGGGTACCCAGGTTAACGAAGTTTCGGATCACCCGCCTCCTAGAGACGGTTACTGTAAACTTTTCGAATACGTCCACGGAACAGTTCCACTGTTTAGTGTGTTTCCGCAGTTCATTCTAGCGAGAAACAGGGTGTAACGGCATTCGTCACAGCTGTTCTGTGCTGGGTGGACCTTGCCTAAGGGCGGGGTGCATCATGCTGAAATTGCATATTTTCCCCTGATCGCGATGCCAGTACCGCAACCCTGTGGAATCCGGTAGGGTTGGGCGTGCTCGGGGTCCCCTAGCGATCCAACGGTACCCTTCTATGATGCACCACCTGCAGTTTTGCAGTCCCGACCCCCAACCACCAATGAGACGCGGTTAAGGCGTCGCATGTACAGTAGCACATCGTTGTTGATTCTGTAATCTTTTCGTTTCCACCTCGTTTATATTTCGTTCCAACTTTAGGCGACAAATTATCCATCGCCAACACGGTTCAGTGTGCACGTGGTGCACCTCAAACGCCTGATCGCGTGGGATCGCTCGCTGTCAGACCCAACGTGATTGAGGGTGGTTGGGTGGTTGTGTTGCGAGCCCACAGGATCGTGGTGCAGCATCACTACAGTAATCACTGTACATACACGACAAAACACTGTAACAAGGATCGCTTGGGATCGCGATCCCCAAAAACAGCATGATGCACCCCGCCCTAAATGTCTGCGTGTACTGTTTCCTTCATTGTCACAGCCATTCCATCGACAAAGTAACGGCGTCCGATAGTGCGGCGCACTCAACCGTACGCCAAAGCAAGTTTTCTTTTGAAAACCGTTATGTACCGTTCACCAGGATAACATTTGCCCGTCACCCACCTGCAGTAGCACCAGACCGCTACGTTCCAAGCAACAGGACGCACTGTAGCCAGTGCATCCCAATGCACTCGCGGACGAAATCGAACAGCAGTACCGTCAATGCAGCAGATTTCGCTGGATTGCAGCAGTACCGTCAATGCACTCGCGGACGAAATCGAACAGCACGTACAACACTGAGGGCGTGTCCGAAGTGACATGTCGATGGATGTCGACGGATGTCGACGGATGTCGACGGATGTCGACGGATGTCAGGGTAGGTAGGTGAGAATTCTCAGGCCGGCGTTGTGTCCGAAGTGATTTGACATCCGACCGACATCCATCCGTCATCCAGCCCTGTGTAATCATTACAGTCAAGGGTGCCGCCAACAGTGACATCGGGATGGTCAACGAGGCAGTCAACGAACCCAAAGTTTGATAACAAAATTTGTGGGGGAAACATGGCGAAAGTATCTGTTGGCAAACGACCGTCCTTTGTGACTTGCACGGGGTGACGAAAAATGATAGCGAAATTCGTTAATTTCAAAATTGATCCAAAAACATTTTCTCTTGTCTGCCCCTGCCGGCGCCAACAGTGCCGGCCGGCATTTTTTGGGCAGTTATATCGCCGGCAGTGTGTCCGAAGTGACTCGACATCCATCCGTCATCCGTCCGTCAACCCCCGTCATCCGCCACCGTCATCCATCCGATGACGGATGGATGACGGATGGATGTCGAGGGCCACTTCGGACACGCCCTGAGGGAACAGCTGACGGAATGATGCCATCGTTTTCAAGGGCCTGCAGCCTGAAATACAACAGTTATTCGTTAATCTCACCAAGCGTGTTTTGGCTGGAGGTGCTTGTCAATTTTGCCGGGTGCTTTTCACGTCTAAGAGTCACATTTCCCTGCACATTGCCGTCCCTTGCTCCCAAAATGTGTCTGTAAACACGTTTTTGCAACTGTAGGCCGGCCTGACCTAATCATACCTAAACATTTGGCCTCGTCTTTAGCGCGAATGCGTGTAACTGTATCGTTATTCCACCAATTTTCTTCAACATTTAGCAATTCAATGCTGAACTGACCACGCGTGTGATTCGATTCTTTGTGACATAAACACATCACCCCCAACCTTCTATGTGAACGTACCGAGCAGGTGGCATAATGGCGGGTGCATCAAACGAATAAGAGGGTGTAGTTCGCTTCATTCCGACCAGGGCTGTCGAAGTAACGGCATTTGTCACAGCTGTACGACCTTGCCCAATTGTCTACAGTTTCCTTCATTGTCACAGCTGTTCCAGTGCCAAGATTAGAAGTACACCCTGTTTCCCGCTACACTGAACCGGATAGGAACGCTACTGTTCCCTGGCAGTATTCGGAAATTTTCTGTTACCGAAACCAGTCAACCGTCCCTTGCAGGGGGGTGTTGTGAGGGTAGGTTCGCAGAATGCGTTTTCCCTAGATACCGTATTCAGACATTCCAAAAGGTTTAGAGAACTTTCGAAATCGTAACCCATCACACTGGATCGCGCTGGTTCAGATTTCACTATAACGCAGGTGATAGCATGCTTCTGTACGGGGTGAGTTTCTAGTAACGGGGAATTCAGTATACCAGCATTCACTATGGCAAGAAACAGGGTGTAACGACGTCCGATAGGGGAGTAACTGTCACATCACATCTGTCCATGGGTGAACCTGAGTTGTATCACTAACAGCGCATTCTCAAGTTCCCCCACCATCTAAGTTCCCCCACCATCCCGTTATTTTCAAAGCTGATGGGGGTTTTGGTGGGAATGCTCCCACTCTGACCACGGAACCTCATTTTGGGGGGCGACAGATGTCGAGAGCATCGCATGTGTCCAATGAAATTGTCGCGCCAGCTCGCATACCAAGTGTTGGACCAAGGACGTGGGCCCAATCGACTTTGATCGGGTTGGATTGGATCAGAGTGCTTGTGATCGCCTTTCTCGCGCCGCCCGATCAGAGCTGATTTTCCTCGAAAGCTCTACGTACCGCGTGAAACCATTGCCTGCTAGTTTCTATCCATCTTTGGCGAGACTGGCGATCGCAGTGTATCGTACTAACTTCGCAAGCGTCGCACTGCACACAATGTCCGCTTCACAACCTTCTCGCCACTATGTAGGTAACATTTAGTACATTGGGTTTCCGAGACCTCTAGTCAATTGTGTAACATTTCGCATACATCCCCCAGGTCCCCGATCACATGCAATCAAGTGATTGGGACTGATTGTGTCAAATCGAATTTGATCGGGCTGTTTGAGGCGATTGATCGAGTTGGAGTGATCCTTTGATCGCGATCAACTGATTGCCCCCGATTGCCCCCGATTGCCCCCGATTGCCTGAAATTGGCTTCCCGCCTGATCGCCTTTGATCGCGCCGATCAAAGGCGATTGGGCCCACGTCCTAACCTCGCGAAGCAAAACCTAAACGGCCGAGCCTAACGGTTGCGCCTGACATCAAACTTTGGCACAAGTCAAATCAAGTCAACTTGGGTGATATTGCCAGATTCACGCAAGCAGCGCAGAAATGGGTTGGGTGGATACCGCTTTGCCCAGTGCTGTTTCCTTCATTGTCACAGCTGTTCATGCTGTTACTTTTAAAAGTAACGGCGCCCGATAGGGGAGTTTCTGACACATCAAATTTTACCGTTATTTGGTTACCAGCAACCGAGGGGGGATTTGCCTGTGGGGTTGACTGGCTGGTGGGATGCGCTGGTAGTTGCCAGTGGCGAGATTTGGCAGCCACAGATAGCGCTGGCAAGCAGATGCGATTTCGAGAGAGTTTTGCTCCAAACCCGGGTTTGGAGATTCAGTGTTGAGCACGTGGCCTCTATTTGCTCGCGTGGTTCGACAATTGACCGAAAATTGCTCGAGTGACCTTGCCAGGGAATTTCCGCAGCCTTTTTTTTTATCAGGCACAATACCCTAACAGGGTTTTAATCCCTGAAAGGCTTTGATCGCGCTCATGTTGGTTGCCGCGCAATCTTTTATTGCTGAAATTTATGTTCGTGACCATATGTGAGCGCGTCTGATTGGACGCGCATTGCCAAAAACAGCTCCGCGCATATAATCGACCAATTATGCGAGGTTATTAAGGGTCTCGCGCATTGATGCTCGGGCATTGAACTTTATGATCGTGAATTTATATGATTGAGTGTCATTGGTCGCGGAATTATATGATCGAGCCCTCATTGGTCGCGCATTGTACAGAAAATGAGCACACATCTACTATAATTGACCAAAAATGGCACCATGCATATAATCCACCAATCAGGCGCGGCCATATAGGGTGACAAACATAAATTAAGGATATATAAGATCGCTAAAGTTTCGTGGATAAATACCATTGTAGGGTAATGTTCCGGGTTTCGCAAAATAGGCTGCGGGAATCCCCTGGCAAGGCCACTCGAGCAATTATCGGTTAAATGTTGAACCACGCGAGCAAATGAAGGCCACGT